TGAGATTCAGCCGTGTTGTTGTGGGATTCAGTGGCTCATTCCTTTTTATTGCTGAGAAGTATCCCATTGTATGAATGGATATCTCTTTGTTTATCTGTTCTCCTGTTGATGGTCACCTGGGCTATTTCCAACATGGGGCTATTTTGACTACAGGTCTAATGAGTCTTTTTGTGAATATATGTTTTCATTTTACTTGGATAAACCCCTAAGAGTAGAATTGCTAGATAATATGGTTAAAAAAAATTATTTTTAAAAAAAACTTGATTGTTTTCTATCAGCCATGCCTGTGAGTTCTGGTCACTCTGCATCTGCACTACCATTTGGTGTTGTCAGGTTTATTTTATTTTATTTTTTTATTCTAATTATTTCTGTTTGTGTGGTGGTATCTCACTGTGGTTTTCATTTTCCTTTTCCTGATGGCTAACAGTGTTGAACACTTTTCATGTGCTCTTTGACATTATCTTTTGTAAACTAAGTGTTCAAAGCTGTTACCCATTTTAGAAATTGGATATTTCAGTCTTTTATTTTTGAGTTTAGGAATTATTTATATGTTCTGGATATAAGTTCTTAGATATGTAATTTATAAATTTTTCTCCTAGTGTTTGGCTTGTCTTTTTCTTAACGCTAGTGGTGAAGAACCCCCCTTCCCAATTCAGAAGACAGAAAATGCAGGTTTCATCCCTGGGTTGGGAAGATCCCCTGGAGGAGGGCATGGCAACCCACTCCAGTATTCTTGTGTAGAGAATCTCACGGACAGAGGAGTCTGGTGGGCTAAGGTCTATAGCGTTGCAAAGAGTTGGACACAACTGAAACAACTTAGCATGCATTTCTTAATGGTGTCTCTTAATTTGCAAAAGTTTTAATTTTTGGTGCAGTATAATTTATCCACTTTCAAATGATGAGGACTTTTTGAGTCCTGAAAAATCTTGCCTACCTCTTAGTTGTGAAGATCTCTTACATTGTCTTCTAGAACTTTTGTAATTTTAGCTTTTATGTTTAGATTTGAGGTTTGTCTGAAATTAACTTTCTAATATTATGTGAGGTAGTGGTTAGGCACCTTTTTTTCTCTCAAACAGCTAATCAGTTTTTCTATTCTCTTTCATTGAAAATAATTTCATTTTTCTAAAGAATTCCTTTGTTGAAAATCATTTGACCTCATAGATGAGGGTCCATTTCTCGAATCTGAAATTGGAAATATCTGCATGAACTCATTATTTTTTTCCCTGTCTGAAAGGTGTATACTTATCTCTGTCCACTTAATCAGTGGCCCAGTAGCAATGAGTTTTTCTTGTGCTCAGATCATGGTCTCTGAATACCCTTCTCGTTAAAAGAAACCAGGACTCCTTGGAGAAGGAGCTAATGCCCAGTCTTAGGCAGTAATTCATAAGGTGAAATTGGGACATGTTATCTTAGCGGAAGGTAGGACACTTTAAAGGGCCCTCTCTCAGTGACCAAAGATGGAACAAGTTGAGCATAAAAGAATAATGATTGAAATCAATTAATATTCATAAGATATGTTATTTAAAAATCTATTACATTCACAGTGATGCTCCATAGTGAACTGATTAGTAACTTCAGTAATCTCTAACCAGTTTGTTCACATTTAGGGCCTCCAGACACTCCAAAATCACTTCTGGAAACAGGCAGATGACAACAAAGAAACATTTATCAACCATCTACCTTCCCCTTCCTTTACAAGCCACATTTTATGATATCCAAATTAGTTGACAAAGGTTCTTTACAGGAGAAAACCAGCTCAAAAAATACAGAAGGACTGATAGAATTTGAAAATTCTGTATTGCCATGTCTGATGAAATAATGGGACTGGACACTGGACATCAGTAGATAATGTTTGATGGGGAAATTTATACTGGATGGGTTGGGCTAACTATCCCTGAACCCATAGGTCAATTTAACATCATTAAGGGTGGAACAGACAGACAGTATATCCCTCCAGATAGAATGCTACAGGGAATACAGAGTGCCCAGCTCCAAGTATTATTGCCAAAATAATCAAACCTGAAGTAAATCTAGTCTCTGGGTCTAATTACCAGTTTACAGGAAATGCACGGTTATAGGAGCAGCACTACAAGAACATCTATGGGAAAAATATCCTCATTTCTCCAACAAATAAATGGCATGAAAAATTGAAGGTGGGGAAAGGACTGTTAGAGGTTGAAGGAGACTTAAGACAATGGCAGACTGTTGAAGGTGATAAGAATTCATTTTTCTAAAATTTCTCATGGCTTTCTTCGTTTTCATAATAGTTTAAACAAGAAAAATGTGTGTTTTCATCTTCAGTGAAAGTTCTGTGAAGAGCACTGACAGATAGCCCTCTTACATCATATTAATGGGCTTCGCTGGCATTGTCACGGTTGGGAAGAAATATTTCGGTCATACTTCATGTCTAATCTCAGATGGGCACCTTCCACGACAGGCGGTGACTTCTGTGTTTATAGTCAGAGCTTGGTGTTTGCTGTCTTTTTTCCTTCACACAACGAGCTGGAGAGTCCAGCCCAGTAGGGATTCGATTGCATGCACTGTTTGCACGCCTTCCTTGCAGACTGAATGAAACTCGGGGAGAGCACAGTTGCTCCTCATCTGTTTAGTCTGGGTCAGGCAGCACGCTGCTGGGTATCCAGCGTCAGTGCCTCCTCCTGACGGTCTGTGTCCTTCTCTGTTGTTCGCGTAGCTGGGTCCCCTGCTCCTCCGACCATCAGCATGCTGTGTCACCGAGTGATCGTGAACTCCACAAAGGAAGGCACCTTCTCCTGCAGCATGTGTCTACCAAATACAACTCTCTTAAAAGACCTTTGTATTTTGTATTTTGAGTACTCCCGATTAGCAAACAATGGTGTGATCGTTTCAGGTGGACAACGAAGGGACTCAGCCATACGTACACATGTATCTGTTCTCCCCCAAACCCCGCTCCCATCCAGGCCACCACACAACATGGATCAGAGCTCGCTGCGCTACACTGTAGGTCCTCCTTGGTTATCCATTTTAAATATAGGAGCATGTACGTGTCCATCCCAAACTCCCAAACTATCCCTTCCCCCCAGTCTTTCCCCCTGGCAACCTCTTTTTAAAGCCCTTCTACTCTCCCTGCAGCTCACAAATGCCACGAGCTGATTCACAGCATGCCCTTGAGGGATGCCTTGTAACTCACAGGAGAATGCCTGCCAGTGTGACGCACATGTCTTACCAGTTGCTCTTCTTTACCATGTGTCATTGATGACTTGTGCTATCAAACCTTATCTTTCAATAGAGAAATTTTGCTATTAATTCATTAGCAGATTCCTTTCCCTTCAAATATATTTATTTTCAATTTCGTGACTATGCCAATTTTCAGCACAAGGAGTACAACCTTGATTGTGCCCTATAATTTTGGTTTCTCTCTGCCTTTAGTGACAGAATTAATTGCTTTGTAGTCTAATTACTTTGCACTTGTCTAGGAAAAGCAGATTGGTTTACTGGAAATGACAATGTGCAGTGTTTGGGAAAGATAGCAGAGCTTGGATGGCTGTGCTTGGCAGAGTTTCCATCTAGTTGATCATCTGAGAACTAGGGACAAATGGATTGCAGGTCCAATAAATAAATGGATTGCAGGTCCAGCTTATAACACATGTCATATTTCCTTACCCTGTTTCTTCCCCAGTTTGCTTGTGTAGAATAGTTACACTGGAAGATTCACTTTTCCTAGAACATTCAGACGATGATGATCTCTTCAGACTGAAGGACCCCCTCACCGTTTTGATTTATGACATTTCATGTTGTCTTTTCATCACTTTTGCATCTGAATCATTTGGGGAATTCAAAGTGTAATTTTACATAACAAAAACAATACAAAACATCAGCTTAAATGTATTTGTTGTAACAAGTACATTAAACTAAAAGTTGAAGACCAACCACACTGTAAATATGAGGTTTGCAGAAACAAAATGAACCTGGCAATTTCTCAATTTCACATTGCTTGAAATCATTATGTTACATTTCATAATTTTGAGAATGCATGTGAAAAACACTTCATTGCTTTTATCTTCTTGAGGTGACCCAGTTACTCGTCAATCCTGATAGATCCTTGGATTTGTTTCAGGAAGGGGGAACCCCTTCCAGGGCCCAAAACTGGGCTCTTGTCTAACACTTGGAAATGAATTGTCTGAGGAGACACATGTGCTGACAAAGGAAGAGATTTTATTGGGAAAGGGCGCCCGGTTGGAGAGCAGGAGGGTAAGGGAACCCAGGAGATCAGCTCTGTCACATGGCTTGCAGTCTCAGGTTTTATGGTGATGGGATTAGTTTCCCGGTTGTCTTTAGCCAGTCATTCTGACTCACAGTCCTTCCTGGTGGTGCACGCCTTGTTCAGCCAAGATGGATGCCAGAGAGAAGGATTCTGGGAGGTGGTCAGACAGGTGGTGTCTCCTTTTGACCTTTCCTGAACTCTTCTGGTTGGTGGAGGCCTATTAGTTCCCTGTTCTTTATCAGGACCTCCTGTCGTAAGACAGCTCATGCAGATGGTTACTATGGTGCCTGGCCAGGGTGGGCGGTTTCAGTCAGCGTGCTTCCCCTAACAGACTCACCTGTGGTCGCTGGGCCATCCCATGAAGAACTGTGCCTTTAAACAGAACCTGGGGACAGGGTGTTCACACCAAACACATTTTCTTCCATTGTCAGCAACTCTTCTGTCCCTGTGAAACCTGTCCATGTAAGATGGTGTTTTTCAAAGTGTAATTTGGGGAACCCTCCCATCAGAATCACCTGGGGTACTTTTTAGCAAGCATATACCTAGGCCTCAACCCCAGGCTCCTAGGCAGTCTCTCTGGGAGTGAGGGGTGGGGACCTGCTTTTCAAAACCTTTCCTGTGTGTCTAGTACAGATATAGTTGAAGGACTGTTCGGAGTTTATGGAATGTAGAATACATGTGCCTGTTCTGTTGGCTTCATGTGACACGTCTTATGTCTTATGATGACAGTTTGGCCCTTCTCCTGTTCTACCCTCAGGACTGGTCCGTCACGTCTGTAACCTGTTCACTGAGACTGCCACACTGTGTTTGGATGTGGACAACAAAAACAACAACGAGACTGCAGCCGCCCTGCTGTTCTCCCTGCTAGGCATTCTGCATGGCATGCTGACCTACACTTCCAGAGTCGTGCAGCTGGCTCTGCAGGTAGAGGGCCCCTCCTCCCGCCTTTCCAACAACCCTACACCACGCCCCACTTTCTCATCATCCTCTTTTCTCTCATCTTCCTCTCATGTGTCTTTCAGTTTGAAAAAGAGCATATGATTCGATAGTCATCTTTGGGTGACCAATGTCAGACAGCTAATTTGAATATGAAAAGAAAGCAGGAGGGGCCAAAGACAAGACTTAGTCAGCACTTATTAGGGAACTGCCAGCAACTCAAGAGGTCATTTGCATTGTGGGGTTGGCCATGCACTATGCAGTCTTTGCTGCCTGGAGATGGTGCTCCCACGACCTCCAGCAGTTTAGTTAGCTAGTGAGGAGTAGTGGATTGAGTTATCAGGCATGAACACACATGCACATACATGTAATGTGAATATATATGCATAGATACACACACATGTGTGTATGCATATACCTTGCACTTGCTTTCCCTTATGGCCGATAATGTGAAATTGCAAGATGCTTTTGAGAACTGGAGGTGTGTATTTAGTGGCCATGGAAAAAGTCAGGTTGCCCCAGACTGTAACCTGGCATTGTGGTCTGAGACAGGAAGGGCATATGAGTTCATCAAGTACTTTCTGGGCCAAGTGTTAACTCTTACCACATGCCTGTCTCCTTTCATGTTTTCTCTAACCAACTGAGTTAGCTGATCCTTAGATCACATGATAGCACACAGCCAACAGGAATTCACTGTTATATTTGGAATCCCAGTTAAGTCGCAAGTGCTGTGTATTACTGGTAGGATACTGGCCTGGATAGATGCAGAAGCTAGCAGATCGTTCTGATACCTTGCCAAGAGTCATAGTAGCAAGAGCCAAGAATGAGTCCCTCAACCCTGGTTTGGTCTCTTATTCATCATTATGATAAATGGCATCTTTTATCCACAGTGGAGCTGGTGAAGTATTTAGCTTGTTTTTATTTAGCGTGTGGCTTAATAAATAATTCCAAGAGCCCCTCAGCAAAGATGATAGTTAGTCAATAAGTTTTAACCCAAACTTGTAAAGCCAGTAGATGAAATTGGCCTTTGAACTACCTGCTTGTTTTTATTTGCTTATCTGTAAATGAACAGTAAAGCTTGGCTAAGTACTCATGGAATCCTGAATTATGGATTTCTCTTAGATTTCCCTCTTTTTTCTAATAAGTATCTCATCAGAGAGCATCATTTCTTGTTTCAGTTTCCACAGTGGTAGCTTTGTGTAATTCTTTAAGGTGTAGGTGTCTCTCAGAGGATACTTTGATGGTATCAATCTATAAGAGATTGTGTTGTGGATAAAAAGGATCAGACATTTAAAAAAATTTTTTTAATTCTAGAACAATAGAAATTGCTTAATTCAAGTCATTAGGTAGATATTAAAGGGTGTTTAAAACTCCTTAATGCAAATTATTTTCTAATTTTCTTTTTTCAATTTGCTAGTGTACCAATACATCACTGTTTTTTCTTTCTTTCTTTTTTAGCACCAGTCTATGTTTTACTGCTGTCATTGTTCTGAATCTTTCCCTGTAATATCTGCCACATATTGCTTTTGACCTTGACGACTGACTTTGATCTCCATGATACCTGGTATCAGTCTGAAAGCGGTAGACTCTTTGAGATTGAATTAGGGAAAGAATTGGGTAAAGAAATGGAGTGGGTGGGCATCAAAGACAGACACATCCTCCTGCAACACTGAGCTGTAAGTTCTTTCGAAGCATAAGTCACCTCTTCCATTTGTAAACATGCTCCACACTTGGGATTCTTCTGCATTCAAAACCCGTTTCTACTCTTAACACTAACCTCTTAAAACTAGAACTTGGCTGTTGCCAGTGTCTAAAATGATAACACTGTTCAGATTTTGAGGCTCCTGCCTCTTTTTCAGGGAGGAGGAGGATATGAGACAGGCATGTGTACCAGGGAGGTGAGGAGCTGGGGAGGGAGGGAGGTGTCAGAATGTCTCTTAGGAGCCCAGACTCTGCCCCCAACTTGCCTTGAGGAGTACTGTGCCAAAGATACAGAAGCAGACACAAATATGTGTGCCCAGCTCACTGGGGTAGGGGGCCCCGTGGACTTTGCAGGTGGGAATACCTTGGATTCAGATCCCAGCCACAACACTTTCAGCTGTGAGATGCTGGGCATGTAATTTCACCTGTCTGAGTGTCACTTTCCTCATCTGTAAAGCAGCCATGATGCCAACAACTCAGCAAGGGACTTAAATGAGAGAATACAAGATATGTAAATATAAAGGGTATATTTACTGCCAGGAAAAATATCAATAACCTCAGATACGCAGATGGCACCACCCTTATGGCAGAAAGTGAAGAAGAACTAAAGAGACTCTTAATGAAAGTGAAAGAAGAGAGTAAAAATGTTGTCTTAAAACTCAACATTCAAAAAGCTAATATCATGGCATCCGGTCCCCTCACTTCATGGCAAATAGACAGGGAAACAATGGTAACAGTGAGAGACTTTATTTTCTTGGGCTCCAAAATCACTGCAGATGGTGACTGTGGCCATGAAATTAAAAGACAATTGCTCCTTGGAAGAAAAGCTATGACCAACCTAGACAGCATATTAAAAAGCAGAGACATTACTTTGCCGACAAAGATCTGTGTGGTCAAAGCTATGGTTTTTCCAATAGTCATGTATGGATGTGAGAGTTGGACTATAAAGAAAGCTGAGTGCCGAAGAATTGATGCTTTTGAACTGTGGTGTTGGAGAAGACTCTTAAGAGTCCCTTGGACTGCAAGGAGATTCAACCAGTCCATCCTAAAGGAAATCAACCCTGAATATTCATTGGAAGGACTGATGCTGAAGCTGAAACTCCAATACTTTTGCCACCTGATGCGAAGAACTGACTCATTGGAAAAGACCCTGATGCTGGGAAAGACTGAATGCAGGAGGAGAAGGGGACAACAGAGGATGAGATGGTTGGATGGCATCACTGACTCGATGGACATGAGTTTGAGCAGGCTCCAGGAGTTGGTGACAGACGGGGAAGCCTGGTGTGCTGCAGTCCTTGGGGTCACAAAGAGTCGGACACAACTGAGCGGCTGAACTGAGCTGAAAGCACGTATACTTGGCCCAGGGAAAGTAAGCCATGATTGGTCGCTGTGTTATTAATAGCAATAAAAGGGAAGGCAGTCATCTCCCCTTCCTGTTTACAGAGGGTTCCTGGGGGCAGTGATTTTCTCATGTCTGTGTCCCTGCACTAGGGAATGCACTCAGTTTGTCTTTCTGGAGTAAACCAGCTCCTAGCAGTCTTATGAGTTATTAATGTATGGTTTTATTTCGCATTTGTGAGCCTAGCCCAGGGCTTGGCCCCTGTGATCTTGGAACAGGGATCAAGAGAGGAAGGTTGTTGAGTGTCAGGGAGCTTCATTTTGGTAAGACCATCAGCATGCAGATAGTGGAGCAAATCATCACCTTGAACCACATCCAGGGTCCTGCAGAGTGAACGGCGGGGCAGGGCGCTCACAAGTTTGGGGGTTAAGGAAGGAAAATAATCAGGATGAAAATCCAGGTCACCCGACTTCCCAGTCTGGCCCTTGTCTGTCATTTCTGGAATAACGGGAGAAACTTCACGCATTACTCGAGAGGAGGGTGGTTTAACTGCTTTCCATTAGTAGATGTGTCAGTGTTGCCCAAAGACTGAGATGTGGCCCCCGGGTCCTCCTTCATCTCACAGTCATGTGAAGGCTGTTGGGATTTCAGTATCTCTCCCTCTTTAAGAAAGTCATTTTTATTTATTTCTGTACATTCTGTGCAGCTTGTGGAATCTTAGTTTCCAGACCAGGAATCAAATCCGTGCCCTCTGCATTGGAAGCGTGGCGTCTTAATCACTGGATCACCAGGGAAGTCCCTGTATTTCAGTATCTCTTGAGGTTACTGGTTCGACTCCTCCACGGCTTTCTCCCTGCGATTTTCCCCACGAGCTCGCCCCTGTCTGGCTGTTGTTCAGTCATTAAGTCGTGTCCAACTCTTTGCAACCACATGAACTGCAGCACGCCAGGTTTCTCTGTCCTTCATTATCTCCTGGAGTTTGCTCAAACTCATGTCTATTGAGTCAGTGATGCCATCCAACCATCTCATCCTCTGTCACCCCCTTCTCCTCCTGTCCTCAATCTTTCCCAGCATCAGGGTCTCTTCCAGTGAGTCAGCTCTTTGCATTAGGTGGCCGAAATGTTGGAGCTTCAGCATCAGTCCTTCCAATGAATATTTAGGATTGATTTCCTTTAGGGTTAACTGGTTTGATATCTTTGCTGTCCAAGGGAGTCTCAAGAGTCTTCTCCGGCACCACAATTCAAAAGCTTCAGTTCTTCAGTGCTCTGCCTTCTTTATGGTCCAACTCTCACATTCGCGCATGACTACTGGAAAAACCCATTGCTTTGACTATATGAATTTTTGTTGGCAGAGTGATGTCTCTCCTTTTTAATATGCTGTCTAGGTTTGTCTTCCAAGCTTTTCTTCCAAGGACCAAGCATCTTCTAATTCTGTGGCTGCAGTCACTGTCTGTGGTGGTTTTGAAAACTCATGAGATTTGTCACTGTTTCTACTTTTCCCCCATCTATTTGTCAAGCAATGATGGGACTGGATAACATGATCTCAGCTTTGTTAGAGTTGAGTTTTAAATCAGCTTTCACTCTCCTTTTTCACCCTCATTAAGAGGCTTTTTAGTTCCTCTTTGCTTTCTGCCATTAGAGTGGTATCATTTGCATATCTGAGGTTGTTAATATTTCTCCCAGCATTCTTGATTCCAGCTTAGGATTCCTTCAGCCCGACATTTTGCATGATGTATTCTGCATAAAAGTTAAATAAGCAGAGTGACTATATTATACAGCCTTGATGTACTTCTTTCCCAGTTTTGAACCAGTCCATTTTTCCATGTCCAGCTCTAATTGTTACTTCTTGTCCTGCATACACTTGTGTCCTGGAGATAGGTAAGGTGGTCTGGTAAATTCCCACGTCTTTAAGAATTTTCCACAGATTTTTGTGAGCCACCCAGTCAAAG